AATGGCAGGAAGCCGCCCGCGGCGACGACGGCCGCGCGTGAGGTGCGCGGTGTGAAGGTGTGCCTGCTGACGGCTGGCATGGCACGTGGCGACGTACTCGATGATCAGCACACCGCACTGACCATCTGGTAGCCCAAGAAGGTGAAACGTTCCGGCGAACACCTCTAGTGCGCATGCCCTTTCCCTGCTTAAGATGAAAATGTCGTCCGCGCCATCTAATTCCGGGCTTCTTTGACTGATGCCATGCGATTGGCCAGGGCCTTCGCGGGCAGCATGTTTTTCAGCTTAGGTATTGGCTAGGCGACGTTATCAAGAGAGTAAGATATCGTGGCTACAAACCATATTGTGGCTAACTGATATAAACACCGTATTGATATCTGACTGTTTTCAAGAGGGCTCGTCTTCGGCCAACGAGGCGGGATGCACTGCGGCATATCCAAAACATCCCCAGTTACAAATAGCTGTTTGAATTACAAAAAACGCCATTCCGCGGTTCACGTCAATAGTGTAAATAGCTGACCGTAAAAGGCCAAAAGCTGCAGGGTATATTTTCCTACTAAATTTGGCCTTTTGAATTTAACTTGCGTTTGGTGTAAGGTTACATCGGAGTTGACCCTTACGTTACCATGATGCTTATGTTCGTTTTCGGCAGATAAGAAAACATCCCTTGTCAACAAGCTGTCAGCTGCAGCAAGCAAGCTGCACCGGTTACCTGCAGCCTGTTTGATTGCTGGTATCACAAGGAAATATTAGCAAAATAGAAAACAGAGCAAAATATTAGCCAATGTCGGATACTCCGAATGGGGGTTTGAGTAACAGCATGGGCTGGCTGCATATATTCGCCACTAACAGTCCGGACACAGCAATGATGCGGACAGCGGACACATACAACATCTGAACTGAGCCTAATTTGTTTGATGCCACTCATAAGATAAAATCACGCTCCAAGCATTTATTCAAAACATCCAGACCAGTTTATTACGGCACCCAGGCCGACTTCTCGCGCCCAACGCCAATCACCTCTACCCCTCCACTAATCCAGGCACTCGCCCCACTGCCTCTCAGGAAGCAGGGGGCATGCCCTGCATGGACTCCTCCTCCCCAGCATCCTCGGCCCGCCGGTGGCGCCAGCCACGTTTGAATATCCACCTGTTGTCCGTCACGCCGCGTGAGCCACGAATTACTTCCCAAAGGGGGTCTTTTCCGCCACTGGACGAGCGTTACCCATTCAAATCGAAAACCAGTGGGTATTCACGGGTCGCGAGGGCGAGGCGCAGGGAACGCTACCCGGCGCGCGTTCCCGCCGCCTGCGCGAACGCGTTCCGGACCGGTGTTGGGACCCCTCGGAGTGGAACGGGCCCGCATGCCAATGTCTGCTCTGCTCCGGTTGTCCGTGTTTTTTGACGGACAGACGTGGGGCAGGCGGGGCGTATCGACCGTTTCAGGTGCTACCCGGTGGTAGCGGTGGCGAGGAAGGGGGCTGGAACATTTGGGCTCAAGGGATTCAGGTGCGCAGGATTCATGTGCTAAGGAAGCAGCTGCGTGAGCCGTACGCGTTTCCCAGACATGCAGGGATGCGCATATGTCGCATCGTACAACAATAGCGTGTCTCCCCAGCTCGAGGCATCCGCGCGACGCGTGCTTGACGTACGAGCGCTTGAACCCTCCCGATGATGACATTACCAGAAAATAATGCCCTAGCCGGTACAAATGTTGTAAAAAGCTTTCTCAAGTGCTTGCTGAGATTCTACCTTGCATGATTCCGATATCACGCGTCACAGAAAATGTATTACTGCGCTTGATTCAGAACAGGCTGAGTCACATAGTAATCAGAACAAATACATCTTTCGGACAATGCGGTGTTGGCGAGAGATGTGACATCATGTTCGTTGCACTTAAAGGAAGGAAAAAGGAAAGCCCACAAAATCCGGATGACATAATCGCAAAATCACGAATCGAATCTTAATTATAACACCAGTAACATGGAAATGTAGTGCAGTGCTACAATCGACAAATGGGTATTGGCTTTCCTATATTCGATAAGACCCACTGCTGTCTGGATGAGAAGTCCTCAACGTAGTTAAACCGGTTCCTGTCATACAAGGAGGGCCGTTTACTGCCCGCGAGAGATGGCCTTCTATTACTGCGAGAATCTGACCTCACCGCGACTAATTTCCGGTGGTGGCGGGGGCGGAGGGGGCGGAGGGGGCGGAGGGAGACCGGACGCACAGCGGCAGTCTCGACTCTCAACGCCGCTCAATCCCGAGGGCGGTGAGCGGCGTGAAAATGTGAACGGAATTCTGGTTTATTTCCCCGGCTTGTCAGGCCCGACAAATGGTTAGTTAGCTAGAGAAATGACATCGACCGTGGGTTTTATCGTCTCCGACTCGGCCGAGTCTCGAGACAAATGACGGCGTCGATTGAGAGAGCAAAACAAAACGTGGCGCTCCCGTCCCCGGCCGCGCCGCCGTGGTGCGGCATGGAGTCGGCGAGGCCAGCAGCGCGCCTGGGTACCATTGGCAGGGGGGGGCGGGGCGGAGGGGGGGGGGGCAGGCAGCCCGCCGTCGCCGTCGGCGGCCAGTGGAGTCGCCAGGATCATAGGAAATGGCTGCGACAGCGGTGGATTGATGCAAAGCCTGTCATGGTTGAACCCCACCGCCACCCGCCACATAAACACGCTTGGAGCACCTCCGTCTGGAAGTGGAGGTCACACGAAGCAGTCAGAAAAGAGCAAGCGTTTGTAGAGGTCTCTAAAGTCGCCGACAGCCCTTGGACAGTTTGGCAAGCGACATATGAATGGGGGACCTTAGAGCCGGCGTATTTAGCGACCCAAACGCAGGACCGTAGGCCTATACAAAACCTGCCCTAGCTGACAGGGGTAATGGCGACCGTTTTCATTCGGGATGTAGTTGCCTTCGTCCTATCCTTACTTTCCAAATATGCGCTTAATCTGAGGTCACAGCGGCACAGTGGTGCCGGTGGTCAGAGGATCCGGCTAGGATTCACCAAGGAATGCCTTCCGTTACTCACCAGCATGGTGGCACCGATATGCCCACAAAACCCTATTCAAAATACTGAGCTTTTTTGGTAGAAGTTCGCGTTTTATTTCAACAGCCTTGACCGCCCAAGCGTCGAGGTGCATACATCCTAAACGTTTAACTGCCCAAGCATGTTGGAGTTTCGTCCTTACACAGATATCAGGATATCAGAACACATATATCAGGTTCTGGTCCATGACGGCTCCAACGGTCAAATAGCGACAATTTAGGTAACTGGTTACATATATAGTGCATTGACCAAAGGCAGGACGTAAACAAACATTTGTAACACTTTACGACCAGAAAATGCTGTCCTTTCTGAGAGCTTCGCTCCCGTGCTCTCCTTCCTAGATAGAGCCCCTCTCCACACCCGGCTACCGCAGGGACTGGGGGGCGAGCGGTCGCAGCAGGGAGGGATGGTAGACACCGACTGTGGCTTTTCAATGTGAGCGAGGCACTATGCTTGGGTAACTCTTGCCTTGCATGCAAAGTACGGTTTCACGGACAATGAGTTGACGTATTGTAAGTAGTCCTTGCAAAAATGATAACATAACCCGATTGATATTTCATCTGAAAAAGTAACCCATGTGGCATTGCCAACACGCACGTT